CCGGGGCCAGTCCTCCAGCAGCTTCTCCATAAATGTTGGTTGGATGGATGGACAAGAGAGAAGGCGGCGGAGGTGAAGGGGTCAGCCGTGCCCGAGGACAAGCCCACGTTCACAGGCCCAGGAATCCACCCGCTTCAGACCGGGGAGAGGACAGTCTGCAGGACCAGGATGAGCTGAGGGCATCGTGGCCACCACGGACAGGCACCGTACCGGGAGGACACTGGGACAGGCCCCAGGAACCGTCAGCGAAGGCCACAAGGAGCTGATTATCCTCAGGCGCCTTTCCATGCGGAGACGCCGAGGTCTGGGCAACGCCAGCTCTGATTCCGCGGATGGGGCCCGGAGGCGGATCTGGGGAGCGCGACCTGGGTGTGCGGTGCCTGTGGAACTTCGGGGTCCTGTGCGGGCTGTGACCCAGGTGGGGACCTGGAAAGTTTTCCTGAGATTTTGATAATCGAGGGAGACTCCAAGGGGCCGGGAGGGACAGGAGAACCAGGGGAATAGCCTGTCCCCAGGGCCAGGGGTGAGGGAAGGCTTGGCCCAGCCGGGGCCACGGGTCAGAGCGGGCAAGGACAGACCACCAGGGTCCAGAGAGTGAAAAGCCAAGGCGGGCGCAGAGCAGGGGCCCAGGAGAAGGTGGAGCTGGATGCGAGGGCTGGATCCCCAGCAGGAGGCGCTCAGCTGCGGGGCGGGACGTGAGGCGGCGGCCCTGGCTGGCTGGGGCTCTGCCCACTCTGAACCTGCAGGCTCCTGAGGCTCGGCTGCTGGCCCCTCCGCCCTGAGATGGGAGAAGGGAGGAAGCAGTTGTCCTCGGGTCCTTCCGTAGCCCCTGTGGCCGTCCAGCCAGGCTGGAGACCAATTTTCAGAGCAGGAGGTGTGCGTGGGGCCCAGCTGCTCTGGCCGGGGCACCTCTGCCACCTCGGGCTGGCACATCCCAGGCATGCCCAGCGCTGGCCAAGCTGGCTGAGAGAGCTCGGGAGGTCTCAGCGGTCACTGTGGACTCACCAGGGGTGACACGTGGCACCAAGCACTTTCCTAGGTCATCTCCTCGCATCCTTGTAGCAGCCTGTGAGGTGGCACTTTGGTCCCCGTCCACAGATGAAGAGGCTGTCATTGCTCAGGTGGACAGCAGGCTGCCCAGGGACAAATTGTCCACAGGGGCAGGTCCAGGGTCTGGGCTCAGGACCGTGTGAGTCCCCTGTGCGGCTGCCTCTGCTGGGCTTCTCCACCCTCCAGACATCTCTCTGGCAGGGGAGACCTTGCCCCAAATGATAAGGTGGGCACACGCCCTTCCAGCCAGGTGACGGAAGGCAAATGCTGTCCTGACACGTGTCTACCCATCCCCCTTCCTATCTTCATTCCTATGAAAATCTTTTCACTCCACCTACTGATTCATCCGTCCACCCATTCATCTGTCCACCCACCCATCCATCCATTTGTCCATCCATCTGTCTATGTATCAACCCGCATACACTGGCTAATTCAGTGGTTCAATGACAAGTTCTAAAAACCCAGCTTCTCTGTGTGTGTGTGTAGGCATGTGTGTGTGTGTGTGTGTGTGTGTGTGTGCATGTGTGCATGTGTGCGTGTGTGTGTGTGTGTGTGTGTGTGTATGCGTGTGTGTGTTTGCTGAGTGGCACCTGGGACATCAGCTTTTTGTCCTCTATCTTATTTCCTCATAGTGGCAAGATGGCTGCAGTGTCTGTGCACATCATCCTCACGCCCCAGTGTCCAAGGCCAGAAGAGAGAATGTATCCTGTTTATGTTCTTCTAATGAGGAAGGTGTTCCTGGAGGGTCCCCAGAACCTTCCCCTTGTGTCCCCTGGGCCACCATCGCATCCCACGGCCATTCCTGGACAACTCTCTAGCGAGGGAAGGTATCACCGGGCCGGCCCACCTGGACTCAGGATGTGCTGGCTGAGGAGGGTCCCAGTCCCCCGCTGTGCTGCTAGGGATCTGATGAAACTGGGGTTCGCAGGGAAGCGGCTGTTGGGCGGGCAGGGGCGTCCGCTGCTCCCTCCAGCCCTGCCTTCCCTCCCGTCCACCCAGAGCCTCATCCACCTGTAGGTCCCTCCTTTATCCGTCCACGTGTCCGCCCATTTATCAAACGTTCATTGATGCCCACTGAGAGCCAGGCCCTTCGCTCCCCGTCTGGTGGGAACTCAGAAGAGAAGAGACCTCATTAGGGAGAATTATGGGCTTTCCCGTCGTCCCCCGCCTCTGCCTCGTTTAGTCACCGTAGGAATGATCTCGGGGGCTCGTGCTGGGCCTGCGTTCGGGAGCCCTCCCGGGGCCACTCCGTCATTCCGCACACGTCCCCAGCAGCCGCGGCCTGCCAGGCGCAGCCTTTTAGTTTTACAAAGTGCTTTTTCCGACATTTGTCAGAAAGGGCCCTCAAAGTCAGAGC